AATAACGAACCCCCCCCCCCCCCCCCCCCTTGCAGAAAAAGCCAACCCCACAACTTCAAACTTCAAAGTCCACCATTAATGGTTATCTGTTTAGACAATTTTCCACAAAAATTGCTGTGTTGTACTAAATTTACCAGACCCTTTCAAAAAACACCTAACCCCTCTTCATTTTTTGTCTATTTATACACACACATGTGTGTGCCACAAAAAAAATTGTATATTATAAGGTGGTATCAACTATTCTTTTTATAATTTTTGGTATTCCAGTTAATTTACATGCACCTCGACTAATTTTAGGAGGCAGTAATATGTAACGTGGTCTCAATTATAGTTCCATTATTATGTGAATTTGATTGTGACATTTTTTTTCAAATGTTTGACTCTTGTTACAAGATTTTGTTTTGATTACTCAGATTTACTGTTAGACAAAAAAAGAAAAAAAGGAAAGAAGTTTGCTTTAGAGGAGACTTAGGACACGTAAATCAAGGAGAAAGCTTTTAAGGATTTTTGCTTCATTTCAACCACTCACTCATACACCCTTTATTCAGACCCTTAAATTTCTCCTCTTTGTTTGTCTTGTTCTTTCTTTTTTTGATGAATCTTAACAGGAAGACCCAATCATTGGTTGTTTTGTTGAAGAATGGGATGAATTAAGCAGGCTTTTTGGTACAAAATCTCATCTTGGTTTAGCTTTTCTTGGTTAGTTTTGCTCTCTTTCCTCTTGGATTTTGTTTTTTGTTTTGTTTTTTTGTTGTGGTAGTTTTTTCTTGGATTGAAGCTTATGTTTGTGGGGTGCTGATAATCTTTGTGGTTTGAAATCTTATGTTTGTGGGGTGCTGGAAAGTTGAAGTTTTTGTGTTTTTCTTTTGTTTGAGTTTAAGGAATTCAAGGTTAAAATGGGGAAGATAAATGTGAAGAAGCATATGTGGTAGCATTTTAGGTCTTTTTGTGCTTTTGAGGAAATTGTCAGATTTTATTTTTGAATTGCTTTTGAGGAAACAGAATGTTGGGGAGAAGGACTGAGTTTTTTTTTCCTTCTAAACTACTAATAAAGTTTGGATCTTTGAATGTTTGTTGTGGTCTTGGTTTCTAATTTTTTGTTGATCAGCAAACCTTGTTGGATGCTGAATTTCTTCATCTTTTTTTTCCCTTTCTTTTTGTGCTTTCTTGTTTCTGGGAGTTGTTATGAGCTCATAAAGTTTGGACCTTTGTGTCATAGAATTGGTTTGAAGTCTAGGTTTTTTTCTTTTTATTCTCATTTCTGTCCATCGAGGTCTATTGGAAACAACCTCTATAGCTTCAAGTAGGGGTAAGGTGTGCTTACACACTACGCTCCACATACCCCACTTGTGGGATTATACTGGGTTTTTTGTTGTTGTTGTTGTTCGCATTTCTGTCCAATCAAAAGTAATGACTTCTGAGTAAGGGGAGTGAGGCATAATAATTCTTGTTGTTGTAGACAATTCATTCGCTTCTTGTGGAAGCAAATTCTTTCAGAAGATTTTTCCTTTTTCAGTTTGATGTTGGAAATAAGTAGATCCCTTATTTGCTATGCTGTCTATCTTTCTTTGTTTTGAGGTGATACTTTGCTGAGACTTTTAGGATAACCTGCTTAGTTCTCCCTTGTCTGTTTATCTTCTTCTCGTACCAGCCTTGAACTCTTGACCTAGTGGCGTGGAGAGGACTCCCTCAACCACTACGAACAAGAAGTTCTCATTTGTCTCTTTAGTGTAAAGAAAAATCACTAAAGCCTTGTACTTAGCATTGAAACAACTTTTGAGCATATCACTCTCACTTTCCTAAAGAAGAGAGAAGTGGAGGGAAATTTCTAAAGAGTAACGATGAAGGTACTTCTAAGTAATGAAGTACACATGATTCTTTCCCAAAGAAACTTTGAGGAACAGTTAATATAATAGCTCTTAGTAAGAAACTTTAGGTACAAGTTAGATACATTTACAATGCCAAATCCTTATAAGGTATTATTACTTATAAAAACTTTGAAATAAGTTTAGATTTTTAGAAACTTATAAAAAATCTTTTTAAGTTGTGATCTTTTTCATTTCATACGGCATAATATACTTGAAAATCTTAGTTGAGGATTTTTTCTTTGACTCTTTGGATAAGCAATATGGACAAATTTTTGAGAGTAGTTTTCTTGGACTTATCCAAAAATGTAGAGTTTTTCTTGGATAGGTTGTTCAACATACTGTGAAACTCAGCTGCAGATGAGGAATCATTCTGGATAAAATGTCACTTTGTTCCGCAGTAGAGTGGTAGCCTTTTTTCAGTACCTATTTACATCCATCTTTCAAATTTGACCTCAATGGACTCTGTCTAAATGATGCCTATAAAGGAATTTCAAAACTTGAACTAGTTATGTAGCAGCTTGGTTTCCAATACAAACGCTCGTTCCCAGCCTTTAGTTTTGAACTGCACTTTTTGAATGATTTGCCCTGAGAGTAACATAGCTTCGCATTATTTGAACTACAAGGACCTTGTTAGTACTACTCCTGTTATTTATATCTGAATTTCAATCATGCAATTGCCAAATTACCAATTGCAATTGCTTTCGGGCATTAGATGTGTTTGTTCATTTTTTTATCAGTTAAATAAGTGCTTGTTCAAAACAATTACAAATGATATAAGTTTTATCTTAGCATTTTCTTTTTTGTCATAAGACCTAGTTATTGAAGGACAATGTATTAAATAGATTCTCTGTTCTACACACGGTACGCAACTAGCTAATCTTGAATGTTGACTATCAAAAACTTCGTAGACTAGTTATCTCATTATTTATGATAGGCATACTAACTAGTTTCACTAAATTTCTCTTATGCTGTACATAATCTTTCCTTTCCCTTTTCCCCTTCTCTTGTTAATTTTGCCTGCGAAATGCATATTTTTAAAAATTGCACACTGGTCCGCCATCGAAGACTTGGCTGATAAATTTCCATGTAAATGTTTGGTGTAGATTACCTGCATTAAATAGCCTTAACTAGGCTCCTCTAACTAGTAAAGGTTTTCATTTTATCTAGATCTTTTTCCTATTTTGTTTGATAGATTGATTTCTTTACCTTTTTTTCCAATGTATGTTCACACTTTCTTTTGTGACAGGACCAGGACCGTCAAGAGAGCTAGAAAATCAGATTTGAGGAGGATTTATATTGTTATCAACGCTTGGCAGTTAATATAGATAGCATGGCTCCCGGAGGCAGCAATTACCAGGATATTGGCGATTCCCGAAGTGGATATGCTGATTATGGTATTGCACCAGAAAGTTCTGAATTCAAAAGCTCCCCTTTTAGAAAATCTTCAGCTATTACTGGTGGGAAGCATGGAGCGGGATCTAATAGCGCTGTTCATGAGCTACTTGAATGCCCTGTTTGTATGAATCCAATGTACCCGCCCATTCACCAGGTAGGTTCTAATGTAACTTACATTGGAATAACAGATTTGTAATGAGTATGGTTTGAGATCTCTTGACATAGTGGTACGAGGTGGAGGAGATTTTTGGTACTTGCAGTTGAACTTGACAGGGATGCAGATGTATATATGTGATGAATTTTGTAATAGAAATTCTTGAAGATGACTTGAAGGGTTTGAAAAAGAATGGTGCAATTTCTTCATAAGTAGTCAATTTATTTTACTAATGAGTCTTTAACTTAAAGTGTCACATCTTGATGAAGTTGCAGCATTATATAATCAATTCGAGCTATTATAGGGAGAAAATGTCTATTTGTCTGTTCAGCAGAGATGAAATAGCGCTCTCCGTTTTCTTCGTAAAAAGGTCCGCAATTTCCTAGAGTACCTCAACTTACTAGAAATAAGTTTTGCCCATCCCAAATTTTGGTTTACCCAATGTTGGGCCCCATGTTATGTTATTCATGCTCCAGATATCTAGTCCTAGGCGGGGGTGGGTTTGGGGGGGGGGGGGACTTAAGTGTACCATATACGTTATGAAATGAACCATATTTTTTAAGAAATGTCTGACTCTTAGAGTATGATAAACACAAGGCGTGAATAATGATCTTTCCTTCATAGCAAGCGTTGGCCGATTTAAATATATTCCCTCCATATACAGGTCCTTAGGACCTGTGTGGTATGTTAGAATAGATTATATGAAGAGTTTGACAAAATGGTGTTCTGAATTAATGGTTTGATATAAAAGAAATTAGTAAGTTAGCAAGATGTTAATAAGTTTCCAACGATGTAAAGTGGTGGTCGTTTATATTTGTTTGAATTGCTGGAGGGGGAAAAAGTTTTCATTTGAGGAAAGAGGTCAAGTTTAGTAGCTTTCAAGTCATGGGCATGGCTTAAAAAGGCTTCTCATCTTTCTTCCTTGGAGTTTGAGTGTTTATTCGTTCCTTCAAATAAGGTGTACGAGAAGAAATGATAGTAAAGTTTATGATTCTCATTGCTTGTTAACAATAAAAGAGCTCCTGGTTCCCTAAAGGATAAACATCTCATGTTATGGACAGTAAACTCTACAAGCTGTAATAGAGAATATAACAATGAAAATTTGATGATTGTTGTTGCTAGTTAACAATAAGAGGGCACCTAGTTTCCAACAAGATAAATGTATTTATGGACTATAAACTCTACATACCTGATGCACCTCTTAGTTATATGGCCTATTTAAAAGAATTACCACAATAAAGTCGGTAAAGCATATAATTCAACATTATTAGAAGAATTTGAACTTTTTGGTGCTTTTTGGGATAGAAGAGTACGTAGTTTTCCTGTGTAGCTTTTATGTAATAAATACTTCCCTTTGTAAGGTAGTCACTGATAGTTTGGATGAACCAAATTGGAAGGTTAGACACTCAACTTTTGGCGTACAGAGTGTTTTTTGTGGCTCAATGGAAAGAAAAAGTAGTTGAACGACAATGCCTTTAAAAACAAAGGGATAACTAATGCCTTCCAAAAAAAAAAAGGAAGTTGGCCGACTGATTTTATGTTTCTTTTTTCGTTTTCCTTCTTTTTTGTTAAGCTTGTGATCTTATTCTTCAAGAGATTAGAAGGATTTCTTGGGATTTTACTAAGCTTGTCGACCTTTTTCTTGTAAGTGTCCAAACGGTCACACGTTATGCCACAAATGCAAGAAAAAAGTACATGTATGCCCAATTTGCCGCCATGAGCTTGGAAACATAAGATGTCTAGCGCTGGAGAAAATTGCTGAATCGCTGGAACTGCCATGCCGATACCAAATTTTTGGCTGTCAAGATATATTCACCTACCAGACTAGGCTTCTACATGAGCAGAGCTGCAGATTTCGACCATACAATTGCCCATATGCAGGATCTGAATGCGCTGTTACTGGTGATATTCAGTACCTCGTTACACACCTAAAAGATGATCACAAGGTTGACATGCATGATGGGTGTACCTTCAACCATCGTTATGTCAAATCTAATCCTCAAGAAGTTGAGAATGCTACATGGATGTTGACAGTGAGCTCTCTCTCTCTCTCTCTCTCTCTCTCTCTCTCTCTCTCTCTCTCTCTACCTTCGTTTAGGGAGCTAAGGGAAGGTGTAGGGGTTGCGCAGCAAGTGTATAATTATTTATCATTCATTGCATATATTGCGGGTGTTCTATACTATAATGTTTATATGTTTTTTCATTTATCAGATACAGTTGCGAATCGTCATGCATGCAAACAATTTACTTTATAAAAAATACAATATAATATAGATTGAAGGTCTAAACAGAGATCAAACATAGTGAAGAAATTTTACTTCCAGATCTGAAAATAGCAGGTTAAAATTGCCTTTAATGATACCTATCTGAAAAAAGAATGTCTATCATGAGAGTTGAGAGGGTTGGTTTGGTAGCTCTTTCCATTGAATGTGTGAGCGGTGTCATCCCTCAAGTAGACAACCAATTTATATTTGGCGGCTTCAGTCTTTCCATATGTCCTCAGTCTTGTGGAATGATAGGTCATTGAACATTTTAGGTAAAATGCAAGTGGGAGTTGTTTGAGGGTCTCAATCTCCAAATCAACATATAATCCATAGTTTGTATGTGTCATTATGTGTTTAAGCGGGAAGCTCTAAATATAGCAGTATAATTATGCAGCTTTCCTGCATAAGGGAAAACTTCCAGTCTGTTTTTGCTCCTTTTGTTGACAACCTAAAGTTAAAGAACCTTTCTTGGAAGATGGCGAAATCCCAATAACATTCACATACCCTTTTAAATCATCATCAACAACAACTATGCCTCTGTGTCAAACAAAGTTGGGGTCGGCGTTATGAATCCTCACTTCATTCTTTGAACTCAACTAATAAAATCATCATCACCAAAATAAAAAGAAAGCGAAAGGAGGAATAGTAGCTCAACTTTCACCTTGTTGGTGAGGATTCAATTCCCCACCTTGTAATCCCCTCCTCGATTTACCTTTCAACAAAATTAAAAAAAATATATATAAAAAAATAAAAGTGAAAGTGAACAATAAGGTGTGTGTATATATAAATAATAGTAATAACAATAATAACATTAGACCTTTTAAGTTATCAGTGAAAGAATTTTTTAGAAATCATTGTGAACCTTCCAGGAAGATCTGGACTAATGAAAGAAACAACGAATTCAAGTTGTTCTACAAACAACTAATTCATATTGCTCTCTAGCAATAAGTCAGTTGAAGAGTGAAATTCTGGAGCTGTTGTCTATGAAATAGAGAAACTGATGGCTGTTTCTGTTACTTTACTTTCTTAAAAGTTGTAAGATCTTGGCCTCCTATTAGATACATGAGGAAAATCTGCTATTATTAACCTTTTCCAAAGAAAGAAGGAAACATATTTTGTTACGTCTTAAACTTTAGGTTCATCATTGACAAGAAAGGTAGCTCTAGTGAAAATCCCTCTCCACCTCCGCCTTACAGTTGTGGGTTCGAGTCACCATGCTACCATATAAAATAAAATAAAACTTTCAGGTTCATCATTCACCGTCATGTTTGCATTGTAGTTACTGCTAGGAGGCTCATATTTGCTCCTGTTGTTATGTTCGGCTTTATCTTTTGTGGTTGAAAGTGAAAGCAGACAAAAAGCATGAAGTTGTTTTGTTCTTTGCTTCCGACTAGCATTTGACGCTGAAGAAGGAGTTCCTTTTCTGTTGATTTTTTCCTTCCGTGCTGCTTGAAAAGGTCATGTTGGTAATAGTTCTTTTGCTATTCTCTGGAGTAGGTTTTCAACTGTTTCGGTCACCAGTTTTGCTTGCACTTTGAGGCTTTCAACCTTGGATTGGCACCGGTGTACATGGCATTCCTTCGTTTTATGGGCGACGATGATGATGCAAAAAGATTTAGTTATAGTCTTGAAGTAGGTGGATTTAGCAGAAAGTTAACATGGCAAGGAGTACCGAGGAGCATCCGTGATAGTCATAAAACTGTTCGAGACAGTTTAGATGGGCTGATTATTCAAAGGAGCATGGCACTCTTCTTCTCTGGCGGTGACAGGAAGGAGCTGAAGCTAAAGATAGCTGGCCGCATTTGGAGAGAACCATTGTAAACTAGATAGGGGCATTTGCGCAAATGACCATTGTCGAGGTCACTATTTAAATTGTGCCCCTGTTAGTTCAGTGGGCTAAATTTGTTGGCAAAAAGGCGAAATTTAGTTCATTGGGCTAACAGAGACTGAATTTAAAGAGTGGCCTCTTAGAAGGGCGTTTGGTGCAAAATAATCCAACTAGATATACTCCTTTTGCTGCAGGAACCCCTGAAAGTATAGTTAGATATTCCTGATTGGTTGGTGGCTTATTTTTTGCATTTCTTGTAAATGGTTACTAGAAAATCTGCAGATGGTTCTATACAGTTCCTGGTTTTTGGATCGATCGATTTGTATCGAGTGTAGTTTAGCTCAACTATGGACCCATGTTATGGTTATTGCTGGCCTTGTATCTAAAGTTGTGAGGCATTTAGGCTTTTTTGACCAGCCATATGATAATCTATGTAGTAGTTAGTCTCTTATCTATTGCCTCTTGACTTATTTATCTGTCTTTAATCTTATAGTCCTTTAAATTTTGAACCAACTCAGTGAACAGTGTGAAGACAAATGGTCATATGGGAAAGCCTATAATGACCTTAAGTAGTCTTGGTGGGCAAAATCATATGGTACATATGCTTATCCATCAGTACAACAACAACTATGCCCAAGTTCCAAACAAGTTGGGGTCAGTTCCAAACAAGTTGGGATCGACTGTATGAATCCTCACTTTCTTTAAGCTCAATTCATATCATCTATCTATATTATGAGGATTTATCTCACGCTGGCTGTCAGCTTATTGCAATCCTTCTCTTTTATCCGGGCTTGAGACCAACATTGTGAGTAAGCTCACGAGCTCACACGGGTGGAGTTGCTTATCCTTCGGTCAATGTAATAATTTTGTTCCTACTAAGTTTTCTTATGAAAGAAAGTGGACGTTTCTTTTTACTAAGTGAATGTTGCCGAATCTCTCGCTGATTTTTTCCTTTACCATGACAGCCACACTCTCATTTAGTCGATCTTGATAATCCGAATACGAAAAGTGTCTTAATCTAGACACTCTAAATAGTGACCATGATTTTCTTGTTGGTAGATATGTATGAATAAAGAAGAGTGATGAAAATGAATTGCCCCATAAATCATTCTAGCCATTTTCCCTTCTCAACCATGCTTGTTGCAACTTCTAACTAATAACAAAAGGAAAAAAAAAAAAAGAATGAAGAAATACCATTCTACTATCAACAATAGGGAATAATTTTCTCTCAAGCTCCCTTCATTATCTCTTTCTTCTTCTGTTTTTCCTAATCACTATTAAGGATATAATAATATCACTATTTAGGCACTTTGATATTTAAGCAAATGGATATTAATCTAAGCTCCCGTTTAGCCATAAATTTTTGGATTTTGTTTTTTCAAATTTTGTTTTCAAATATCTGTTTGTTTATAGATTTTAACCATTTTTTGGCACATTTTGAAAACAAAATCTTCAAATCCCAAAAATAACTCTAGAGTAGTTTTGAAAGTTTTTACTCACAAAACTTCAACTTCTTTTCAAGTAAAATGCATGTCCAAATTTAGCTAGTGTTTGGCCGTATATCCCAAATTTATTTTGAAAAATCTGATTTGGGTGAAGTTTGGTTTGAAGATGAAAATGTGTTTGGACATACGTTTTCAAAACATATTTTCCAACTTTATTTTGGAAAAACATGTATATAATTCCCAAATTTTGGAATTTTATAGCTGATTTTGGGATTTGAGATTTGGGATTTGGACATGAGTTTTGAAAATAAATCCCAAATTTATTTTGGCAAAACTCATGGCCAAACGGGGCCTCAATTTTAACTTTCAAAAACTATTTGAAAAACTCATTTTTTTTTTTCAAGTTTCAACAAAGTTAACGCTAGCTAAATCAACTTCTAACTTTTGAAAAATCTGATTTGGGGTGTAAATTTCTAGTTTTTATCCTTTTTTTTAAGTCATCTAAAACATATAATTCCACCAAAACCAAAAATTGAGAGACCAATAGTCTCAAAATGTAAGGAAAATAAAAAAAAAATTCAACCCTAGCCAGTGCAGACAGCAAGAAGATACAAATTCCTTAAACCTCAAAAGGTAGAGAAATAGCTCTGAAACTCTCACGACAACCTTAGATTAACAGAAGAACAACATAGTACAATGCTAATCCGATCACTTTCTCCATCAAAGCTGAAGAAACTCCTTTTACCACTTTCTCTCTCACCATATACACACACAACTCCTATACCCAACTCAATTCTTGAAAAAACTCTTTATACCCAAAACCCTGCTAAAACCCTAATCCCTCATTTCTTGTTCAGAAACTTCTCTACACCCTCAAAAATCCAATCTTTATCCTCAAAAATCCAATCTTTACCCCTTTCTAGAGATGGGAATTTTGAGGAAGTTAATTCTAATGTCATTTGCCGTGGTTGTGGTGTCACTATGCAAGATTCTGACCCAAAACAACCAGGGTATTTCATTAAACCTTCAATTAAAAGCTCAAATTATAGAGAACGCATTAACAAGAATCCAATTGCTGATGAGCCAGAAATATCAGTTTCCCTCAAAAGGGGTTTGCTTAATGAGGTTGTAGAATGTGAAAATGAAGGAAATTTTGAAAACCCAGTTGAGAAAATTGAAAAGCCAGTAGTTTGTGCTAGGTGTCATAGTTTAAGGCATTATGGGAAAGTTAAGGACCCTAGTGTAGAGAATTTGTTGCCTGATTTTGATTTTGATCACACTGTTGGGAGGAGGTTAATGTTGAGTACGGGGGCAAGGGCTGTTGTTTTAATGGTGGTTGATGCATCAGATTTTGATGGATCATTTCCTAGGAAAGTAGCTCACTTAGTTTCTAGGACAATTGAAGAGAATTCGCGTGCGTGGAAGGAGGGAAAATCGGGGAATGTACCTAGAATGGTATTAGTAGTTACAAAGATTGATCTTTTACCTAGCTCATTGTCACCTACTAGGCTTGAACATTGGGTTAGAACAAGGGCAAGAGAGGGCGGGGCTGTTAAGTTAACGAGTGTGCATATGGTTAGTGCAGTGAGGGATTGGGGAGTGAAGAATTTGGTCGATGACGTAGTGGGATTGGCTGGGCCAAGAGGGCATATTTGGGCAGTAGGGGCACAGAATGCTGGGAAAAGTACATTGATTAATGCAATAGGAAAATGTTTTGGTGGGAAGGTAACTCATTTAACAGAAGCTCCGGTGCCAGGGACTACATTGGGGATTCTGAGAGTGGAAGGGGTACTTCCAGGGAATGCCAAGTTGTTCGATACCCCGGGGCTTTTACATCCTCATCAGATTTCGACGAGGTTGACGAGGGATGAGCAGAAGCTAGTTCATATAAGTAAAGAGTTGAGGCCAAGGACATATAGGATCAAGGTTCATACTTTTCCTTCTGGCTCCTTAAAAATGTGTTATTTTACTCAAAAGCTTTCTTCTGCACTTCATCTTCAATTTTGAGTGTCAGATTGCAAATAATAACTGTAATTTATTGAGTTTGTTTGGATCCTTCTTTCGGAGAAATTATCTTCAATCACTTAAGCTCTTTTAGTTTTCCTTTGGTAGTTTCTTACAAGGTGAATGCAAATAATGAAGATTTACTGAATCCATCTCGTTATGCTCGTCTTAGTCTTATCCAATCTTTGCACGAATTGTTAATAGATAACGTGAAGTTTAAAATGGAATCAGCTTTTGCTAAAATTCATCATTTCTCTCTCATTTTTTGAGCAGGTATACTGGCTTAAGTTCTTCCCTGCATCATGCATTTCAGTGCTTGTAATATGTTACAATCAACTATATATGATTGCCTTATGATCGTTTCTTCTAAACTTACTTACCTAACAAAATGTTTGTTACTTTTTACCGTATTGTAAAAAGATTTTTGTTCAAGCGAAATGCTTTGTGTGAAGCTTCAGAGCATTAAAAAAAGAATCTAATGGCAAGGTATGCTCAGAAAAGATATTAACTGAGATTAGATAATTAACCTGTAAAATGCTCGTGGATATGTAATGGTTGCTTGTGACATCTCTGATACAGGATCTAAAAATGAAAATACGACGTAAATTTTGTCATTTCATTGCACCTACCTCCATTAGATGTGTCTGCTTAAGCCTATACCCAGAACTTCACTTGAATAACCTGCTTTCTCTAGTTTAGTTGCGCCATCCACTTTGAAATCTCATGATTTCATTACTTGCTGTGGACAGGTAGGACATTCAGTTCATATAGGTGGGCTCATGAGGTTGGACGTGGAAGAATTATCTGTTGATTCTGTGTATGTTACAGTTTGGGCATCTCCGTTGATTCCGCTTCATATGGGGAGGACAGAGAACGTCAGCACAATGCTGGAAGAACATTTTGGGCGTCAGCTGCAGGTATCATTTGCTTTAGGATTCGAATATTCTCCTTTCTCTCTTTCTAATTTTAAATCTTTATTTTTAACATAGTCCTTTTGTCCGAAGCTTATGATATTGCATGTTTTTTTGTTTTTTTTCTTTTTCTTATTATTTGCATGCAGTTCGATACTAGTGTTATAAATCTAGTTTAACTGCAGAAAAGAAAAACAAAATACTGATGGTGGTAGTTTGTTGTCTCTGATTTTGAGAGTATGTGGGAGCACCTAGAGGTTGAAGCTGACTTGGACTCTGTCCATGACGTTGAGTGATGGAGTGAAAGAGTTTGAAAGTTTTGCTGAAAATCTGGGACACCCAATAGCAGTATTGCGGGGGAGTGCTGTAGGGAATCAGGCTCTTGAGTTTGAAGTAGAAGGCATTATAGTGCAAGAGTCTGATGCTATGCTTAGAACTGTGTTGGACTCTTGAGTGATAGGATTAAATACATAATAGAATAAATAAAGAGAAGTTAACTATAGTAGTCGCCCACCCAAAAAGATAGCCGGCATGTGTATATATTATACAAAATTAGTGTATAATCTATGTATATTGGCTCGGGGCTGTAAATATTTTTGGCCGAGCGGCCAAATGTATAACTAACCCAATAAAAAATATGCTTTTTGGTAATAAAAGATGGTTTTAGGGTCATAAAAGGACCCTCTATTTTGAAACCTCATGTGCTAATTCAAAATTCCAAGCAGATATAGAAACGATAAACTTGTTTCTGTGTGACCTATAGGTCATGTGTTCGAGCCATGGAAGCCGTCACTAATGCTTGCATTAGGGTTGACTGTCAACATCACACCCCTTGTGGTGCATCCCTTTTCCGTACCCTGCGTGAACGCGGGGTGCTTTGTGCATCGGGCTTCCCTGCCCTTCCCTTGGATATAGAAAACTCATGTACTAATTTCATGCTTTGACTATTTGGCGGATTGATATGGTATCATTAAATGCTGTATTTTTTTTCCTTCATTGTGTCAGCCTCCGATTGGAGAGGGACGAGTTGAGGAGCTAGGGAAATGGTTGAAGAGGGAATTTCATGTGAGCGGGAACTCGTGGGATTCAAGTT